TATAATCTACAATAAAATCTCGTTTAAAATTGTGTTACGATGTCTAAAGTTAAGTCACATGTTTCCTGCCTGGCCTTGCCCGTGTATCATTACCCTCTCTCGTCTGGGCGCTATGCAAAGTGCCCTGACGAGAGTGCAGCAAGTGCAGCAGAAGCCAACTGTTGCTATCTTTAAACTATGCTGCTGAAACATAATTTCAGCCAATCAGCATCATCAAATCTGATGGTCACAGGGCGCCTACGTCAGCGCCCAGTGCAATCTGTGAGTTGTTTGGAACCGCATTCAAGGAGACAAAACAGGAAGCTGTCATACACTCTGGAAGCTATCATTAGCAGCTAATATGAAAACTCCGTTTTTGACATAAAAATTGAATTATGGATTATCAATATTTTTTTCAAAGTGACACACATTGGATTAACCTATGGATTAACCTTCAGCCGCGTTTTTGATCAGAATAACAGCAAAAGATGAGCATATCTCCCTGTTTTGCTACCTAAAGCTACGTTGTGTGATGTCTATTTGCTTCCCCTGTCGCGAGTTCTGATCGCTCAGTGATAATACTTATATTTCTAGAATCTGTGGAATCTCAGCTTGTTAGCTAAGCTTGCTTGTGCATATCCGATAAGTATATCGATTGATTTATGCCTAGAGTGCGTTAGCATTTTTTCGCTCAGGGCACATTTAGCAAAAGGTTAGCTTCTTGTGAGACTTGTGTTTTGTTTCAGTAAACATGGTTCATATCATCAGTTAGCTGAGTTTCTTCCCGTTAAATGAGTAGGACACATGAATAGTTCATTACATTGTAAGAAGCCCTGAGACACAGTTTTGTGAGAAGAAAAAAAAACGGGGGAGAAAAGCCCCTTAACAGGTTAAATGGGAATTAAATCATTTTAAGTAATTTTGAGTGTTCCCAAAGCCCCTGTATTCTGCAGTTTGTGTGGGCCTACTGTACTGTTGCACAATTTATTCTGCAGAAACTATGTCCAGGACAAGGTTTTTGGAAGATTCATAGCTAACCACACTGAAGATTGGAGGCCTCAAATTCTCGGCGCTTTTCGGCGCCTCCCGCTTTTTTAACGCTGAATTGGATGACTTGTGTAATTCGTGGAGAACCGAAGAGTTTTCGTTTTGGGGGGGGTGGTGGTGTCCGTCAGTCCGTCCGTCCGTCCATCCGACTGACGGACAACTTCTCACTTCAAAAAAGAAGAAGAAATCTAGATCGCAAAATAATTAAACAAGCGAGTGACTGTTTTTCCTGGCCGAGTACAGGTTCCTTGAACACAACACGAGCGTAACGTGTCCTCACGTGGTATATGTCTCGTCTGAAAGGAGTGCTGACGGAGAGCACCGGAACGCCGCTCCAGCTCTTCAAATATTGCAGTACCCATAAGGAGCCGTACACATGCTACAGCGTTTGCGTGGCTGTGTCTTTTGTTGTAAGCACAGTGGCGATCTGTTGTTATTAGCATCTGGTTAGCTAGCTATGCTAACGAATTTAAAGAGCTTTTCCACAACCAGGTGGAAGAGAGCTCTCTCCTGAGAGGCTCAAATAACCTTAGCTCAGTGAGGTTAAGGCACACCTTGATATGATCATTATAGTTATTAATGAGACATTAGAGACTAAATGAAAAACAGGTATAAAATACTATATGACAGTAAAAGAAAGTTGTTATTAATAACAAAAATAGAGTTTAAAAGGGGAGTGATTTGTAAAATATCCAAAAAGAAAGATCTGCTTACAGTTCTGTTTCAAATGGGTGTTGAGATGTATCCATAGATCTCCTAATGTTGCTCTCAAAGTGCACCAGATTGATGCTTTTAACTTCAATATTTAAGAAAAAAAAATCTTCCCGGGGGAGTCATGGTAAGACATCTGGATTAAGAGGTTGCTTTTTCTTTGCACAGCATGAAAGAAAGGCGAAATGAATGGGCTGTGATTTTATTTTTTTAAGCAGAGGTTGAGTTCAATAATATGGAGGATGTTGTAAAAATTGAAAGGAAAAAGGTTCCCCATCCCTGCTGTAAATAATAATAAAAACCCTTGATTTATAACTTAACATCTCTGTCTCCTATTGATCTGAGTATGTTATAAAGAATAGCCAGTTAATTGAAGCATTATAGCACAGGCCTTTGTCAGATGGTATATTACACTTTTTTTTTTCTGCTTCGAATAGTTCTCTCTTTTTTCACCATACCTGTGTTTGCATCACTGTTTTTTATTATCATAAAACAATGGTATTTATCAGTTATGCAATGTTCTTCATTCTTACTTGCAAGTCTTCTTGTAAGCAACTTATGCTTATGTGCTGGAGTCACTGATCTGACTAGATGTATTTGTTTGTTTTTCTTAAACACACTGAATGTGTACAGTACAGTAGTTTTCATCTCTTTTTATTATTGTTTTGTTAATTTGCCACAGAAATGTAACCATGTTTATTCATTCAAGTAGTAAAGGACGCTTTGACTACAAAAACACACATGACGTCCCTTGCTGATGCTCATCCTCTCCCTCCCAGGCACAGACAGTCAGACGGTGCAGCCTGCAGTGGAGAGCAGCAGTCTGAGCGCTCTGGGCAGAGACACCGCCGTGCTGCTGGGTGATCTCACTCAGGGGGCCTCCAACTGGATCCAGTCCTTCCTGGACCCCACAAGGACCACCGGCGGAGCACGCTCACTGTCGTCCTCTCAGAGAAGCTATCAGAGCGATGAAACTAGCAGGACACCCTCTCTCACCTCCACACCTCATTGTGGAAGTGACTCGGATTACCCAGAGGGCTTTAAGCCCCTGCGCTCGGAGTGCCTGGCCTTTGTGAACCCGACTTCCTGCCCCATCATCAGGAACCCGTTTGTGTCGCCGCTGTTGTCTCCCGACGAGCTGCTGAGAGGCCTGCCGCCAGTGCACATCGTGGTAAGAGAGGGGGGAGGAGTGGAGGGAGGCTGAGGGTGAGAGAGAGGTTGTTGCTGCTTTCAAATGGGGTGGGTGGTGTTCACTGTGTTCACAAGAAGAACCCATTGAAACTCCTCCCATGTGGTGTTCACAAACACAAGCTCAGAGTTCCCCAAGTCAATCAATATCGGAATCACAATAGTTTTTTATCATATTTTATTAGAATTACATTTAGAAAATAGTTTTTTTTACAGTTGCTTTTTCATAATACAATTAACAATACAAAGACAACATTTGATAAAAATAGGTAATGCAAAAATATGTATACAATGGCCAGAAAGAAGATCAAATCAAATAGAAACGTATTTTGTTAGATTTGGGAAAATAGGTTTTGTAACATAGTTGCTTTATTTTTTAATACAAATAAATACAAAGGCAAATGAAAACAACATAGAATAAAAAGATGCATACAAACATAAGAAGTTAGAGTCAAATTGTGCGATTAGAAAATAAAATAAAATAGTTCAAGGAAGTTCATTTTTATTTTTTTCTATTTTTTTTTATATATAGAGTATTTTATTGTTTAAAATAATATAATAATAATAATAATAATAATAATATGTTTAACTTGAGCAGAGGCACATAAAAGTTCTAGATGAAGTTATAGGGGATTTTTCAATAAAAACCTTTAAGCCGATTATAATTCAAGAAGTGTTGAATTACAGAAAACTACACTTCTCGACCTCCACATGACCTTGTTTTTTAGAACTTGTACAATCACAGGCCAATTCAGAGAGAGAGCTTTCCTATTAACTTTCCTATATAGCTGTTCTACCGATGCATATGCAATATTCAATGAGATATCCAGCAGGAAAAGTTACTACTCCAGCACTGCCTTTTCCAGAAAACTGCAAAATCACCAAATACATCTAAATGTATTCTTACACAAAAATAGAGTCTGCAGTATTGTAAAATACATAAACTTGTTTTAATTATATTATAGAGCTAGACCAATACATCTTCCAGGCTGATATTACTTTATTGCAGATATATCAGTACAAATGGCGATAGAACTAGGTTTGAGGTTTTTTGTATTGCTTGTTTCCTGAATGGTCCATGTGTCCTCGCAGGCCTCAGCTCTGGATGCCTTGCTGGACGACTCTGTGATGTTTGCCAAGAAGCTGCGAGACATGGGCCAGCCTGTGAGCCTGACGGTGGTGGAGGACCTGCCTCACGGCTTCCTCAGCCTGTCGCAGCTCTCCAAGGAGACGGAGGGCGCTGCGGAGATGTGCGTGGAGCAAATGAGGGCCATTTTTCAGCAGGAAGACCGGAGGCCTGCACTCCGCAAACGGCCAAAGCTGGAAGAGACCTATCAGAGTAGCAGTCCATCATCGGGCTGATTTATCAGTCATGAGTGGGACTTTGTAGTTCTTGGATGAAAAAGAGATCTGACATGCGTTGGTGGGAGACAAGCAATACATTTTAGAAAAAGGAAACAAGACAGGGAGAATTATGAAGACATAAGTAGAGGAAGCTTAGGTACGCTGCACTTGAAACGATTAAGAAAACAGCTACTAAATGATGACAAACTGTGAAATAATGGAGTAGTTTTCTAAAAAGATTTAGATTTAGATCAAACGCACATTGAGGATATATCAGACTCCACTAAAACCAGCCTTTTGATTCATTTCTTTTCTGATAGATGATGTAAAAAGAAGCTATTGTGCCTTTATTATAAAGAGCTGCTCCAAGTATACGAGCTTCGCCTACATTATGGCACAAATAAGTTGACTTCGACAGGGAAAACATTCCGCATGCACTGTATTGTTATTATGAATAGTATAATATAAGGATGAAATGGATAATCTGGTTATTGCCAGTGTTAGTAGTAGTCACATGTTTACAACATATTCAAAGGAGGCCTTCACCCTGTGGATCTGGGTTATGAATGGAACTTGTTGTACTGTAAATTCATTATTATATTTGTTGATATAAATATTTAACCCTGAATTAAATCAAAACAGTAAAAAATTATTGCTTGTGCTTATTCAGGTTCAGGTTATTTATTTGTACCTGAAGGTAGATTTGGTACCGCGTGCTCCATCACATTCCAAAACCACTAGTAAAAACATGAAACAATCAAGTAAATAAGTAAATGATAGGTTCAAAAGCAGCAGCGTGACACCGCTACAGCAAGTTAATTTGTGCGATGGCTGCTGGAACAAAGCTGTTTTTGCTTTGTTCTACACGCTGGGACTGCTAGGCCCCAAGGAACAAGCTGAAATTCAGTGTGCAGTGGGAGGGAGTCATCATTTAACACAGAGCTGGATAACAGCTGAACTGTCTGAGGCACAGGTTCTCCAGGTTTATCTGTGGCCCACCAATCAGTCTGCTGGACCACTTGAAGAGGCCCTATTATACTTTTTGGGGTATCCCTTTCCTGTAGTGTGTTATATAGGTTTGTGTGCATGTAAATGGTCTTCAAAGGCTCAAATCCCTGTTTTTCTCTCCCACAAATCGAAATGATCCCACAGAAATCTTAATTGAATCCACTATGCCATAAATTGCGCTTACATTAATTATGAAGGATCTTCATAATCCATGTTAAATGGAATGTCCTGGTTATTGCTACTGTACACATGCCTTATGTTACTGACAGAATAACCAGATTGCAACACATTTCTCCCCCCCCCCTGGCAGAATTACATTATTTATTTAACGCAGCTTTACATTTCCCACCATACGGGATAAGCTGTCGTCGCAGATGTCAGAGTTCTCATACGGTACGTGATGTGTTTCATTCCCTTTAATCAGCTGTCTCTGATGTTGACGTGGTAAGCAGAGCCACTATAAAGTGAGGAGGTAATGGGCCACCTCCCTTAGACCACAGCCATCATGCTGCTCCTCACTGTGCTCCTGTTGGTTGCTACCAATGGTAAGTTTGAGTGGAAAAAAAGCTTTTGCTAGATAGGTTTCAAAAATTCCTTTGCATGGTCAATTTTAGAATTGTCAGAGTCATGGGTTTGGTGGACGAAGACAATGTTTATGTGTTTAAAATAATAGGCTAAAAACAATGTGCAGTTCACAGTAGAAATACTATCATGAAGTATTTGAAGTACTTGTTATGCAGAATGGCTCTTTTAACGTCTTATAGAACAGTACTGTTTTTTATCACAAACAAATACATTCATTTTAATGTTTGTGAAATGTGAGCCAATTCAGGTTATTTAAATGTTATTTAAAATAAATAAAATATGTCATCAAATGAAATGTAATCATATCATGTGATTTAACATATACAAATGAACTGGTATTTATTTTAAATTTATGTGTTAAAAAGTACAAGATATTCCTCCTAAATTGTGGGGGAGGTAAAAGTACATGTATTATTACATTTAACAACACTCAAGTAAAGTAAAAGTATGTCAAAATAGTACCCAATACTTGAGTAAATGAATTGTATTCCAATCACAGCTGATAGACTTAATCAGGGCGTATGTTCTGCTTCTTTCCTGCATGTGTTCTGTGTGCCCCTTCCTCTCCCTCACTGCCTCACACTCAGCTGCCCTGGGCTTTGATGATAAGATCGTGGGGGGCTACGAGTGCAGGGACCACTCTGTCCCCTGGCAGGTGTCCCTCAACAACGGCTGGCACTACTGCGGCGCGACCCTGATCAACGAGCGCTGGGTCCTCAGCGCTGCTCACTGCTATAAGTGAGTTAGGCACAGTGGGGAAAAGCAACTACTTTGACCTAAGTTCCACTGCAGTACAATTCATTACATTAATACACACATTTTTGCCCATTTGTACTCAAGCTACCTCTCTTAATATCTGCACATCTTTATACTTTTCATAACAATGCTGACATATTTTATTTTATTATTCTGAGTATTGTGTCATACATGTAGTATACTGTACGGTACGTAGTTTTTTTGGTATATCTATGTAAATCATTTTCTATATCTCAAAGTTATAATCGTTTTTTTTAAATCTTTTTTCTATACATTTTTTGTGTGTTTGTTTTTTTTTACATGTATCTTCTTTAACTGTGTTTATGTATGCACCTCAAGGCAAATCCCTCGCAAGTATAAACCTTCTTGGCATAAACCTGTTTCTGTTTCTGATTTGGAAACAGGTATTGTACTTTTGACTTCACTACATATATTTTACAGCTTTTGTCACTAAATAATTTGCAAATGAGATTATAAATTCAGAATATAAATCATGATGTATTATTTTAAGTCAAGCTACCAATCAGTATATAAAGTCATTTGAATAATTGCCACCTTTTTTGAATGTTGATCAAATTAATGCATCGATCATTATAATACAATCAGTGGTGAATACTAACATTAACAAAGTACATTTACTCAGGTACTGTAATTCATTACAATTGTGATGTACTTTTTTCCATTTGCAAGCAAATATTGTACATTTTACTCCACTATATTTATTTTACAGCTAAATGTACTAGTTACTTTTAAAATGCTGTTTATTAGTTAATACAAAAAAATAAAATAAACTTGTCGTTTTTATACTTGGTATAATATTAGTATGGTATAGGTTAAAAATATCAGAACCTGAAATATGTATTCAAATAAGCCCTACAGTTAACAGCTGTAATGAACACATGAATGCATAATCAATCATAACCCAGTTATTTTATACTGCATTATGTATATGATTCTGAAATTGGCCACTATGCATTTACAAGTATTTTTACTTTTGTTACTTCAATTATATTTTGATGCAAGACTTGAAGCAGAGGATCTTTACACTTTATAAATACTAGTAATCTGAATACTTTTCCCATCACTAAATACAGTTATTTCATATATTTGATTCTGAAATGGTTGTTCTGGACTCAAAGTACATTTTGATGCAAATACTTTGGTTATTTTACTTGAGTGAAATGTTCACTGCAGGACTTTTACTTGTGAGTAATTTAACACTGCATTATTGCTACTTTTACTTCAGAGAAATATTTCAGTACTTGTTTGATCCCTTGTTAGGTACTGGTTCTGCAACATCATTGAACTACTGTTTTAATCTGCAAACTGAAACGTTGACTTTAATCAAATGTATTATGTGAACAGATTTCACATAACTGTATAAGGTAAAGCAATAATATTAAGTTGAAGTTATTTCAACGTAACATTATTGCTTTCAATACCCTTACCTTGTACAGTTGTGTGAAATCTGTTGACATAATACATTTAATTAAAGTCAACGTTTACATGTTTCCAGTGCATGTGTGATTTTTCCACTTCCCTTCCCTCAGGGGGGAGGACATCGAGCTGCGCCTGGGGGAGCACCACATCGGCTACAAGGACGGCCCCGAGCAGTTCATCGCTGCTGCCGTCATCATCCGCCACCCCGACTACGACCGCTACAACATCAACAACGACATCATGCTGATCAAACTAGCCCAGCCAGCAAAGATTAATGAGTATGTCCGGCCCATGGCCCTGCCCAGCAGCTGTGCCCCTGCAGGGACCCAGTGCCTGGTCTCTGGCTGGGGGGCCACCCAGAGCCCCTGTAAGTCTGCCATGAGATCCATAAAAAAGTTGTTATAGTGCAGTTCCTGCTAGTTATCAGTAGGGCTGCAGAATTCATTGAAATTGAATCGAAATTGCAATATTCAAATAGAAAGAAGTGCAATATTTGCCACAGGCAAAATATGTGTAAATATTAATCAAAATTAAGGTGCATAGATGTCCAGGCCTACACATCGTATTTTCAATATCCAATCATAAAAATATCATACTTGCAATGTCAGTTAAATAATGGCAATTGTTTGTTTTCTTCAAAACGTGCAACCAATGTTATCAGGTCATAGATCTCTTCAATACATATTTTTATAAATTCTGTATATATTAATCAACTGTAAACTGACATATACACACATACAGGTACTGTACATATCAATGTCATTTATGTTAATCAATTTTTTACGGTAAAATAATCAGATATACGTTTAATGTTCATGTAGGGAAATGTATTATACTACTAAACTATCGTTGAGTCTAATTGTTGATATGTATTCAATCAAACTGATTCTGCTCATTTGAATGCTGTGAAATGATCTGGCCATATAAAATGTCTCTCTTCTTGTTTGTGGTCCAGTCGGCTGTACGAAGTGCCTGCACTGCCTGGACCTGCCCATCCTGTCGCAGCAGGACTGTGAGAGCTCCTACCCCGACAGGATCACCTCCTCCATGTTCTGTGCCGGCTTCATCCAGGGAGGCAAGGACTCCTGCCAGGTAGGCTACAGCACAGAAATATACATTAGACAATTAGTCCATTGTAATGTTTTATTCTGTTTTGAACAACTGTGTTCCTCCAATATTGCTATAATCCAGTTAACTGTGGTCTAAGATTTATATTAAGAAACCAGTCATGCCAACATTAATTGAGTGTTATCTGAGTTTTTCAATTGAAATGTATTATAATATTATATTTTACTGCCTTATTCACTATTTTGTTGACCTGTACTTTCATCTGTTTTATTATTTATTTATTTTTTAAATACATATGGAAAAGGAGGATTCAAATCTCATAATTACTCTTTTAGTCATCACTCAAATTGAAATGTAGTCTTGCATTTAACCGATCCTATTTAGATACAGTTGGCAGCTGTACTCTACATCTCCTTTAGAGAAGTGTGAGGGTCTGATGCCTTACCATGGGTACCTCAGCAGGGCCCAGGAAGTGACCTGGCACCTCTTGAAGTATCAGTTAACTCTTCATACTTGGTTTGTTCGGGGACTTGAACCGGTGGGTGACCCTATGGTTCCCAAGTCAGGACCCTACAGACCGAGCTTTCTTTTCCCCAGATTTAGTTTAAATTGTAAACACATTCTTACTTTACTTTCCTTGTTCCTATCATTACTAATAGCCTGAACCCACATTTTTGTTGCCATTTCTGAATTGTTCAGGGAGACTCTGGTGGCCCTCTGGTGTGTAACGGGGAGCTCCACGGTGTGGTGTCCTGGGGCTGGGGCTGTGCTGAAGAGAATCGCCCCGGGGTTTACGCCAAGGTGGGTACACTCAATTTCTCAGCGTGAAAGTACCTGGTTGAACATTTATTGAATTAACTATACTTGAAAAAACTATGAGACTTCGACAATTAATTTGTTGTTAGTTTTGTTGGGAGTTGCTGTTCAGACGGTCACGTGGCATTATTACAATTTGTATTGAAGTTATATCAATAATTGTCATTGCAAAGCTCAGCTCTGTGGTGTGATCAGTCATATCTGAAGGTCAAACTCTAATTGTAATATCTGTGGACACAAAACTTTTATCTTCAGATGTCTGCTGTCTCACACAAATGACGTTTTTATCTGAGTGCAACATCCTACTGATTGAATGTGCCCGATTTCTATCTTACCTTTTGCACAGTCATTGTCATAATAAGTGTAAACTGAACCAGCTAAAAGTGATATTCCTTGTATTCTCCACAGGTCTGCCAGTTCACTGACTGGATCCACGCCACTATTGCCTCTCACTGAAGTCCTTCTGCTAACGCTGTTCTTTTTATTTCAACACTCTTAATCCTTCTCGGCTTTTTAAGAATGTATTTGACTGTGAAGCATGTTTTAACAACGACTGTAAAATATCATCATGCGTAACAACCAAATGCTGTTCCTGGAATTACTCTATAATTGTATCATAAATCTTGCATATCTGGCAATCTGGTTGTTCAGGTTGTTTTTTAAATGTGAAAAGTACAACTCTTGAGTGGAGCAGGACGTTCCTGAAGGTGAAATAATTGCACTACCATGGGTACAGTATTTTTAAAAGTTTGAATGGAATAAAACGTTTTTTTACGACTTATCACATTGATCCAAAAAACAACTCAGACTCACAGAGGTTTTGCATGTTTAAGTCCTCATAACATCAAGTTTGACATTTATCTAGGTGTATTTAAAAAAAATTCTCTCAATTCAGTTTTTTGACATAAGCCTAATTTTACCGGCAAAAGTTTCAAGTTCAATATCATCATATGTACAACTATTAGAGTCTCAATCTCCCTCCAACAATGCTCATTAAATATGTATAAAAAGGAAAGTCCTGCACGTAGAAGAACATTTAGAAACAAAGATATAAAATAGACCAACATACATATAGGGCTAAAAATAAACATTATTAAAGTATAAATTAATATAAATGTGCAGTAACAGTATGAAACTGAATAAACTGAATGGTATATTGTAAATGTGTAAATGTGTATATATATATATATGTAATCCACACACACACACACACACACACACACACACACACACACACACACACACACACACACACACAAAAGTGTGTAAACACTTGCTAATACAGCTAGAGAATGCAATTCCTGAAGAAATTGCTAATTACTTCATTTTGTTTAATTTTTTTTTGCTTAATTTTTTTACGTTTCTCATGAAAAATTATGTCTCAGGGATGTAGGGTTTGGGAATTATGGCAGGTTTAAAAGAAAATATGAAGGCAAAATTAAATCTGTCCTCCACTCTAGCTGTGACATCACACACTCTAAAATCTGAAGAAGGCCTCTTTACCAAGGTCTGAACAATTTTTAATATCTCTAAAAGTAAGAATCAGATTTAAAAGTTGTTTTACCCGAATAATGTCAGAAAGATGTGTAACATTTTAAAGTAGGAATGAGGTTTCTGAGTGAAAGTATGAATGAACAGTTAGCAGTTGAAGTCGCATGAAGATTTGTTGAAGTCTGAAGAATTTCTCCATTGACTTCAATGGTTAAAAATGGGATGAATTATGGGATGTATCTCTGGAATTATGAAAGTTATGAATGATCAAAGTAATAGCCATCGATTCCCGACCGAGCTGAACGTTTTGATGTTTGAACGGAGTTTCTGCGATGTTGAATGCGGGAAGAGAGGACCGGCAAAATAACGGGCAGGATTAATAAGAATAAAGAATTTCGCGTGTAGAAGAACAGATAGTTGGAATGCTGTATCAGCATTCCAACTAAATAAGTAAAGTAAAGGTAAATAAATAAAAGTAAGCCATCTCTCCAGTGCTTTTACTTACGTTTTTTTAATTCTGGCATCGTTTTCAGCACGAATAGAGAATATTTTCATTAAAATATATATATTTGGAAATGTATTAATTTGACTATCGTGTCGGCAGTAACCAGGTGTGACAGCAGGTGGCAGCAGCGTGGTGGAGTGTCACATGTAATAAATATAAGCGAGACACAGAGGAAGAGAAGACGAAGAATAAGGCGACCATGTTGATTTAAAGGAAGAAGAAACACAAAAGAAACGATTTATTTCAACTAAAAATCAGTTATTATAGCGAATTGTAAAGAAATTACTTGAGCAACCGCACACTGAGTATCCTATGTAAAATAAAAGAGAAACTAAGGTAGGTTTTCTGCGACATGCAACCCTCAAATTGTGTTAAAAACATCGTTGTTGTGTTCTCGCTAGCACATAGCTAACGTTAGCGAGAGGAGTTATTTGTGCTATAATAGCCCGGATGCTAAAGAGCTTGCTTATTGTGCCATATAGCTTTAACGACAACATTTAAATGGAGGAGACGGTAACAGTCGCGAAACTTTACACGATTGTTGTCATATTGTGTGTAAACAATCTGAATGAAATTGTTGAAACGGCTTAGCGCTTAGTTAGCTTGGAGCTAACAGTAGTTTCGCATATCGGTGACGTTAGCCCTACGGTGCTAATGTTGTTTACCTGAGACGTATTATTATTATTATTATTATTGTATTAATAGGAAGACGAACGAACCCTTACCAAGCAATGCATATGGTGACATACTCTAAATGTAATACATGTTAAACCTTTTATCATATAAATGTGTGGAAATATACAATAACATGACTTGAATCTGTGCGGTCATGTTTGAGGCTATCAAGTAATTCACTCAAAGTCAGAGCGCGTTTGGACCCGACTTACAGTTTTTGACAATTGCTTAAGACTGTAATTATTATTAAATACACTTCAGTCAGACATACAGTCTTAATTGTAGGTCAGTCTTCTTTCCAATCCGGGCATTTGAGCTTCGCTAATCGGCCTCGGAAGATAATTGCCACCTGGCAGTTTCACCTGTGCAATCTTAAACCAAACCAGTTAGCCAATTAGCTTAATTTAGCCTTTCACTGAAGTCTAAAGAACTAGTGTTTCTTATCAAAGTTGCAACTATTCTTTTAACATTTGCTTGATATATCACTATCAATGCTTGTAAGTCTGTTTATTATTTTCAATAGCTTATAAGTTAGGAGACGGCATTAAGGCAGATATATGGCCTTAATGTCAACAGGTTTAAGTCTCATTAAGATACAAATATTTGTTCAATAGTAACGTGGTCAAATAGGCAACACAAACATTGTAACAAAACCAACAACCAAACCATCACTACCGACACACACAACTATGAGCACAGTGTCCAGTTAGTATGCAGTACAAAAATAGTAATAATTTATAAAAAACGGCTAAAACAATCTTGGTAAAGCAATCACATTGACCAGGTGCTATTTTCTTAATACTCTAACATTGACATAAATTCCAATACTGTAATGTTCTTGTTTTTTTCGGGAAAGAAAAGCAGCACAGTTTAAAGCCTTTTTTTGTTTTAACTTTGGATATATAGCTGTCAAATACTATGAGATCGCAAGTTTCTCAAGTAAAAGTAGAAGCGTATTGGCCCACTAGGCTGCTAGTACTAGGATACAGTGACATTTGACCTCTGCATTTAACCCATCCTAGTACTAATACTAGGATGGGTTAAATGCAGAGGTCAAATGTCACTGTATCCTGTTTGCACTTGTGTAACCATTAAAGAGTTTCATCCTCCAAAATTCTAATTTGAATCTAATTCAAATATACTTAAAGTTCCAAAAGTAAAAGTAGTCATTGTGCAGATTGGTCCATTTTAGAATAATGCATTTGATATGTTTTATAATGATTGATCATGAAAGTGTTCTCAAAGCTGGTAAAGGTGCAGCTGGTTTGAATGACTTTGTATACTGCAGGGTAGCTTGTGAGTTTACTCCAGGTGGAACTAAAGTCTGATTTAAGACTTGATTATATTTCACATCATTCATCCAGATCTGCAAAGTAACTAAAGGTATTAAATAAATGTAGTGGAGTCAAAGTACACGATTTGTAGTGAAGTTGAATTATTTTTTTGAATATCAGTCATTGTATTTCAGAATATAAATTGTGCTTAAACAGTGTGCAACAACAACAACAGTCAGTTACTTTGCTGTTCATGGTTTGTTTTAAAACCTTTTGGTTGGAATGTCTTTTTAGGTTACAAGATTGAGTTGTTGGCTGACTTTTGAGGAGGCAGCGGGTTAATCACGGCCACACACACACACGTCACACACCGACCTGAAGACCTGTGGTGCCCGGCGAGAGAGGGTCAAACACCTGGAGGAGAAAGGAAACGCACACAGAGGACTAAAAAGGGGTGGAAAGCTTTTTGGCTTTGGACTAGAAACCCCCTTGTATTTGTGAATTCAGGATCCAGTTTTTTTCACACAGTCGAGCGACGTAATCCACACAGTGGAAATAATAAAAGGAAATCATTACAGACCTTATGATTTTGGGGAAATACTTGTACAAAGTTGGACAACCTTTTTTTCAAGGACGGGGATATTGAGCAACTCTTTGGACTCAAAGAGGAAGTTTTGTTCAATTTGAAACATAAGCATTGAACTAAGATTATTTTGAAGAGGCTGTTCCCCAAGTTCAGATTGCCTTAGTTGTTCTAATTCAGGACTTGAACCGCTTTGATACTTTTCACATATAATTTTTCTATTTGTGGGCAAGTATATTCATGCAAATGAGTGCAAATTTCTCTTCATTTTGAAGAGCTCTTGTGTAAAAACGTGTTTTTCTTTGTTCTTGTACGTCAGTCACTCTGTTGTTGAAGGGGACCGAACTGCACGTACATGTGTATATGTAAATACTACAAATTGACTTCTGTTGGACTTAAAAAGAATAGAGAATATTGTTTGTTAATGCTTTATTAAACTTTTTTACTTTTGAAGAGAATTTTTAAAAAGAAAAACCTAAGAGGCAAAAATATAATACTTTGAAGAAGAAGGAAAACAGGAATAATGGCAACGGCCAGAACAGAAAACTCTGGCCCCGTCATCATGGGACTGAACAAGCAGAACGGGCAGCTCAGAGGACAGACCAAACCAGCTCCAGTCCAGCCAGCACCCACAACTCAAGGAAAGGCTCCGGCTGCACCCCAGACAGAGGGCGGTGCCGCTCAGGACGGAGGAGGCATCAAGTTCGGAGACGACTGGAAGAAGAGCCTAAAGCTCCCTCCCAGAGACGACAGAGTCAGAACCTCTGTGAGTCAAACTATCCCTTCTCTTCTTTCCTACTGTTTCTTAGCTTCACTGTGTTCCTAACCCTCCTGTGTTTACTACAGGATGTCACGTCTACTAAGGGGAATGAGTTTGAAGATTACTGTCTCAAAAGAGAACTCCTGATGGGTATCTTTGAGATGGGTTGGGAGAAACCTTCCCCTATCCAGGTATGGCTTATTTTCTTTTTTTCGGCAAATTATAATTTCTAACCAGATGAAACTAATGTCATCATCATGCCTGAACATCCATTACAGAAAATAGCTTTTTAAATGTCATTAATTAGTTATTTAGGGTCGTAACAACTCAGTACATTAGTGTTATGGTTTAATGCTCATTAGAATAAAATACACAAAGCTTTCATAGTCAAACATGTAAAACTGGCTCTTTATTTGAATCCTGAATTCTTGTCAGATAATGCAACTAAATGTCAGTGTTGGAGTAAAACAGTTTCTGTAGATTAGAGAATTGTTGCAGTGTTATGATTGAAGAATGATGCCACTGTATGCGCACAGACAAAGATAATATTTGTGTTTCCTTGCAGGAGGAGAGCATTCCCATCGCCCTGTCTGGACGGGATATTCTGGCTCGGGCTAAGAATGGAACGGGAAAAAGTGGAGCCTATCTCATCCCAATGCTGGAGAGAATAGACCTGAAGAAGGACTACATACAGGGTGAGGCACTGCCTGTATTTTCATCGTGCTCAATTCACTTAACAATGGCCTACGGCACCTGGCTGTACCGATTCATACAGAAGTCAAATTGCTATT